AACTTACCCTCCCTCTTGCAACGAAATCTTTTCTCTGATGATGAGTTTATTGGCGTGAGGGCGGGACAACCTGTTACTCACATGACATCACAGCAATAGCAAACCACAACAATCAATTCCTGATGGACAAAATCATGTCTCGCCTAACATTTTTTCTTGTTTGAGAAGCCATTTCACTCTGACATAAAATTCCTGCGTTTCATGGGGACAAAAACACTTACTTACAATGGAAGTACTTGTATGGGGACAATTTTTGGAGGTCTTAAAAGTTGAAATGTGAAGCTTATCATTTTATAAAAACATTGACATTAATTCTTCTGTTAAAACTTGTGCATTATTTGATCTGTAAAGCTATTTTCACATCTACGATTGGTTTAGGGTTTTAGGCATTATGTTGTAATGGCAACAAAGTTGTTGGGTTGTTGATTTACAGTAATTAACTTTTTTGCTCACTCCCCTCTTTTAAACCTGTTAGATTACGTTGATTCAGTTGTAATTTAGTTTAACTAATAGAAGGGGTAAAAAAAAATAATTTGTGGCCACAATATCTTGGGGGTACCCCCTCCCCCCTGTATGTGCCAGGCTCTGTATGCAAGAGATTTTGTCTCAATAAAATTATATTAATGCGCATTTTGTTTACAATGTTGGCGGTATACAAACTGGCCCCATTCACTTCCTTGATAAGTGATTCACTGTAACCCAGATTAGTCCATTATTTTTTTAAGAAGGAAAGACAAGTGAAAATTCTTCTTTTTTGATAATCAACATAATGCCACAAGTGCAGTCAATTGAGCTTAGCTTGTATAGAAACTTAAATATCTTTAATTATAACCATCTCATTCACAACCAGTTCATATTTTGGTATTAAAAAGGAAGATATACTTTCTCTATTAGTCGTTCCATCTTTTTAGAAGCAGTTTGTTTTTGCTTTTCCTCCAGTCTGACTGCTTCCTTTAGTTTGCCTTCTGCGGACAGGAACTCAGAATAGTATTGGTAATATGTCTTCAAGGTCTGATTTTCACAAACATAGGAATGAGATTTGCAATCCATTAACTCTAAATGCATGTTTACAATTGATTCTAAAACAAAAACGTGGCTTGATGAGAGGAATGAGGGGTTAAACTGACCGTATGAAGTTCTGTGGTGACCTTCAAGAGTCCATCCTGTAACTGGGTATAAATGTCCCTGCTCTGAAATTATAAATAATGAAAAAAGAGGCAGGTAAATGATTGTCTTAGTAACGTTGTATTACAACGTTGTCAGGAGATTGGCCGGTGACTATTGACTATGAAACATATAGGTGTTATGTTTCTATGCACTGTCAACAAAGTGTCTGTGCAAAGGAAGCCACGTGTACTGTTAGCCCGGGGCATGCATGTGGTACATGCATCTAGTAATGTGTTGGTGTTCATGTCTGCAAATTTGGAAGGATGTGAAAATGTGTGTGTGTCGGGTGAGATGGTGGGTGTGTACCCGTTTGGCCAGGCGTTGGGCATGTTCAACGCAGTGTGAAAGCTGCTGAGGCAGAATGTTGATGTAACTGTCACTCAAGAAACTGTGATCTCTGCTTTCCTGACGTGTTTGTGTCAACAACACCTGCCAGCAGTTAACAACTGACTGATGGCTGGGCTCCTTCCTGAGGGCGATAGGAACAAAGAGCCGTACTAAGTTCCTGATACACAGCAATCGATGTATGTATATCAGTTAGAACCGTTTACCATTTCAAAATTAGATTTTCACATCGTCACAAAGAACTCTCTCTCAAATAAATGCTGTTCGTTTGAACTCACTATTCATCAAAGAAACATAAAACATGTAAGACGGTTTCCACAAAAATATATTAAGCAGCACAACTGATTTAGACATTGATAAGAAATCTTGTTTGAGCGACAAATCAGGATATTAGAATGATCTCTGAAGGATCGTGACACTGAAGACTGGAGTAATGGTTACTGAAAGTTAAGTTTGCCATCACATCAATAACTTACATTTTAAAACAGAGTAAAAGAGATACTTTCAAATACAATATTACTGTTTTTACTGTATCAATGATCAAATAAATGCAGCTTAAAAGGCTTTGAAAAACATTTTCACCCACCCTAAACTTTTGATCGTGTGCATGAAAGTTTTGCTTAAAAAAGTGTTTTGGTTATCTTTCTTACAAATAAATTGCCCTTACAAGGTTTTTAAGGGTGGCATAAGTTGCCATTTTTGTACAAAATTCAATCATAGGTTGATAGCAATTTTATGTATTAATGGTGATTGGTTCTTTGTATATCCTCACTTCCTGGTTCTAGAGGAGAACCTGTCACACAGCTTGTCCAGCGAGCGGGCGTACTCTCCCTCGATCTCGCCTCGTCTGCGCAAATAATCGACCAGATCTTGAAACACCTGAGTCTTCTGCTCCACCTGACCGTCAAATATCCTCAACTGCTCCGCCAGCTGCAAACGCACCTCTAGAGAAGAGAAAGAGAGAACAATTGTATTTTGATAGTTCCTCTTTGTCAATCTGTTTCATTTTACATTGTGTCAAAAAACAATAATCTAGAACAAGTTGGTTTCACAAAGGCAATAAGGATCGGTTATCTTTGTTAAATCGGTCTTGTGATGGTGGAAGTACAGGCAAAAACTTGATTTCATCCATCTCATTGGAATTGAACATCCATTACCTTTAATCTGTGTGTCATAGTCCGCTGTCACCACTCTGTCCCTCCTCAGTTTGACGTGGGATGACATTGTAGCTCCAACTAGATGAGATTCTACTTTGAACATGTCAGAAGTAAGTTTGAAGATATATACTTGAAAAATATTTTCAGGATAGTTTGTAAAAAATTTTGCAAATAGCAAATAGAACGTGTTTGGTCTTGGCAGTCTAGATCTGCTACACTGCTGCTGCTGCTGCTGCCTAGCAAGTACGACTTGCTTCTGCTAAATGCTCGGACCGTTAAATTAATGGAAACAATAGAGATACGGAGACCCCTGGCCTGTAGCAGATCTAGAAGTGGTGCTGAGGAGAGATCTCGGTTATAAAGGGAAATGATAATGGATGTGAAATCAATTAATTGAGAATGTTACATTGAATGAACCAATCAGAATATGAACAAAGTTTGATGGCTGAACTATTTTTTTTTTTTTTACATCTACACAACCCAAAGAAATTAAAAATATGTACACTGAATTTTAATGTGAACATTTTTCATGTTTTCCTTTAATCCATTATACAAGATCAATCACAAGATAGCTAAATTCCATATTCAAATATCATAGTAAACTGTCTTGGATAACACCTCTCTTCAAAATCTTGCACTCTCTGGTTGCACATAAAAATTGCACAAATTGCCACTCGCATCTAATTTAGGCACTGATATTTTCCCACAGAACAATCCCTGGCTCTGCACCCCTATATCTAAACTGATTACTTAAGACTTATGTGCCCTTCAGAACCTTGCAAGAAAAAGAGGAAACATCCCAAAGCGGCACACACATGACTTTTACAGCCCTTTACCTTGACTGTTCCATGCTGGTGGAGCCTAACTCAACCCGAGCATATTTTTCCGTAATAATAGCAGTTTATTATATATATATCTATAAAAACACCTTGCTATGTGCAGATGCATATTGTTGCTCTATTATTGATTTGATTGCTTTCATGGTTTTCCTTATTCGTAAGTCGCTTTGGATAAAACATTTCTAAATGATTCAATGTAAATGTATCTTCTGATTTAAAACAACAGACACATTTATACCTATATAATATACCATATCTATATACTCCAGAGTATTTAAGACACTGCACTCATTCATGCCCGTCTGCTCATTGTAATCTCCAGCAAAAGAATGTCCTCATTCAACGTGTGACAGGGGTCATTGGCATGATATGACCTACAGTACAGCAAATGTACAGTCAGTGTACTGTTCAGTTGTAGTGAACAAACAGCACTTCTAGAGTATCAAAAAGGGGAAGGTAAGCAGACTTCCTGTGTTAAGAGCAATTCAGACAGCAGGAGTAAACTCTCACCCCGAGTGAAGACGAGACCCCCCAGACTCTCTCCTTCTATCATTCATCACAGAAACTTCTAAAAAATAGCCAAATGCCATCCAAATAATCTTCAAATTTATTAGATTCATTAATGCATGCTTCCCAACGATAAGAATGTTACATTTTCTTGACACAACAGTCTGTTTTTAAGAATATATTATATATATAT